CGGCTTTTGGTTTGGAGACACTGGATGAACGTGTAGGGGCATCCAGAGGTTACTGAATTATTATGGAAATATGTTGCATGATAATTAGTTTTACAAAACTTATTAATCAGCTTTATCGGAGACAAAAACGCATGTCGGAATTTCGGTCGAGATTTCAAAAGTTCGCCCATCTGCTGTCGGGCACCGCAATTGAACCGTCATGTGGGCTTCCCTATGAGCACTCAGGTACTCTCTAAAGCTGCATTCGAACTAAAGACAGCTACTCTTTAATGCTCTGAGCAATATTGGAAGCAAAATAAAAAGAGGCGTTCACTGGGAGAAGTGTATTAGAGGTCTGACTTTTCGAGTAGACGTTTCTTCTACCCATCTTCAGAGAGTGAGAAGTCATGCACACATCTTTCCTTATGTGGCGCGCATTGTTTGAATATTGGCCCGCCAATACCGCCTGTGTGGCTGCATCCGACCCGCATGTCACCGTGACCTGAATCCCGTCCATCGTCTTCGGTTGCGGCAATAATTGACGGCGCCCGATTTTTCCGCGTTGTGACTGTCCCCCGTCAAGAATGTCAGTAAAACCAGATAGGGGGAGGCAAATTGATGAGGCGGTTGACAGAAAGCTCGGTAGAGGTTCAGGCTTCTTGAACCTGCCTTGCCGTATGATCATCACCGCGGCCCACATTTTCAACGGCGTCAAATTTGAAGACGTGTCCCATTTGGGCGGCAAGGGTCCAAAATTCGCACGACCAACTTATGCTCGTGCATGCGCGTTTGTAGCCGTCGACCGGTTTCTCCAACGTATTTGCACATTCCGCAGCTGCACTGAAGTCGGTAGGCAACAGCCGACATCTGTTAGGGGATCGGGTCTTTTGACCGCATCACTTGTCGGCGGATTGTTGAGTCGGGCCTCTGGGCAACTCCTATTACCAGCGGCGCGAGGGATCTGGCTACGGCGTCGGAGACCTCTTTCATATATGGAAAGCTCCGCCACGATTTGTGCTGACTGCGTTTTTCATTCCGTTTCCTTGGTTGCTTTCGGCTCCGTTCAACGAATTTTCGCGGATAGCCGTTGGCTCCGAATAGTTTTTGGAGGAGGTTCATCTCGTCCAGTTTGGCGACTGGAGTGCTGCAAAAAGTTTCAGCTCGTCGGTCTAGCGTGCGTAAACAGCTTTGTTTGTGTTAAAGTGGGTGGTTTCTGTTGTACCTGATCACTGCAGCGTGTTCGTCGCTTTTGTGTAGACTGACGTCGCCGGTTTGCCATCTGGTTGGCGCCAAACAAGAACATCCAAATTTGGAAGTTTGCTCTCCAGTTCTTTTTCCATCGTCAACGTGTGAACATATGTCCCAAAAACAGGGTCGGTGGATCAGATGGTCGAGCAATCATCACGCCAACATCCAACGCACGTGATGAAATTGCAGCAATTAACGACGCGAATTTCGGCCATCAAGCAGTCATTCCAACATGTACAACGATCGCGGATGAAGGTAGGATCCGTGAATGTTCATAGGTATGCGGTAGCATGGTGACTGCATCCTATAAATACTTCAGCCCCTTGTGCGTGAAGCATTTTTATCTGATGTTGTCTCTGACGATGGATTCGAGCATGAATCCGAAAAGTCAGGCTAATAATGCTCTTGTCTCCTTGTTCAAGACCACTTCCTGAGACTCGTCTCTTCGCTTCTATTGGGAAGGCGCCGTATGCTGTGCTGATCACAGCTAATCAGTTCCTCGATTTTATGCAGTCGGTGTACCTCCGGATATCCACGTCCGTGCAAGCCATCCAAAAGTCCTGCATTGTTCGCAACCTCTGCTGCGCAAGGCGGCAATATTTGTGGATGGCTGCTTCGTTTTCATCGGTTGGAAGGTCAAAGGTAGGCTCTGTGTAGCCTGTTCTTCTCGACCAGCGGGCTACTGACGGCTGCGTCGTTGCGGTTGCATCAGTCCTGGCGCTGGCGTCGCTTGCGTCCGATGGTCAAGTGGGCGGTGTCTCGTAGTCGTCGGTACGGTCGTTCGGTTGTTAAATGACTAGTTCATTCAGCTTTGGTTGTAAGCATTAGTTATTTTGCTGTTATGTTTCCTGTTTGCTGCTCTTAAGCGATTTGAAATGTGGTAACAAGCCCTCTGATGCTGACTGATGCATCTTGGCCCGCTGCGTTTATATTTCGGTGGGGTCATGACAGTACCCGCCCATGATCATCCGGGACATCCTCCAAATTTAAATATCGACGAGCCAGTTTTAACGTATGTCGCTATACAGGAATTCAAAAGACGGTCTCGACGCTGCCGGCCTATTTGCGACAGTTCCGTAATTATCTAACGGTGGCATTACTGAGCATAGGGGCTTTAGTGAACAGTCCTCAAGTGCACCTGTTTGACAGTCAATGCGAGTAAAACATGTTATCTATGCCTTTATAATGAATTACCATAGGGATTTGACTGGTTTCACTTGATTACAATTTAACGCTACAAGCTGGGCTACATATCGACCTTGAATTTATCAAAAAACATTCCAATTCGTTAGTAGTTATATTGTGTCCGAACCGGGAAATTCGTCTAAACTAGCCAACCTGAACACAAATTAACAATGAAAAGGCTAGACTTCCACTGCCAAGTAGTCTTGTATGATATAGAAACTGGGCACACACTTTCTTGGGACAAAGCCCGCATTGTCGATTTTGACTATATAAAAAAGTTCGAGAATTTCTAGAGGCCATTCTCTTTGGTGAATAATGCATTAAACGGCGCATCGTACTGGACCCCAAGTAAACTAATCTCAAAGAAAAATCGAACGGAAAGAACCATCCAAAATGTGAGTCAGTCGGCACAGAAAAAGCAAGATCGATTTTAGGGCATGTTTCAATTGTAACTGTTTGTCACGCTTAATACACGTTTAAATACGACCTGTGAGCCAGCATCGAAAATTTATGATATGAAGTTCGTCCAATTTCCCAAAAGACTCATTTTTCTTCGGGTTGTGCTTCTTGGGATGCTCATCTTTCTGTACCTATACGCACATATATGCATGTATACCTGTTTATATGTAAGAAAATAGAAGAACTGCGAAACCAAAGTCCGACCAACATCATTTCTTTTGCCAAGATTCTACTCTGTCCCATTAATTGTCATGCCTTGCCTGGTAAAGCAATCCATCTAAATGGCGTTTTAATAAAACGTTTAACGTCCTTGCACATTTACAGTGCTCTACCTACGGCTTTATTCTCAATGATGCTGCTGAATACGTCACTCGGCACGCTGAAGACTACGGCTTTGAGAAAGTAATCGGGAACATACATGGGCGTGCATATATCGTACTTATAATCAATGAGGAGCACTTACAATTGGAGAGCTCATTATCACGGGACGATTGGACAGCCATATACTGGCAATACGCGTGTTTAGCGCCTTTCGCTAACGCCGAAGTTCATATAACTAAAGAGGTAAGATGAAGACGTAAGTATAATTTTTAACTCTGCCAGGGAATTTATAGATAGAATTTTAGTTTTCGTTGCCTCTCACCGATTTCCTTGCTGCATGCACGTTGTTAAACTCTAGTAGCATTGAATCGCTACCTGATGCACTCTTATCACGGAAATCTCGCGATTGGGCTATCTCGTCACCTGATTGGTCGGCGAGTATATCGATTTCTCACAGTCATTGGCTGGCACGCTTGAGCTATCTGTGCTCCCACGCCGCATGCACGTCGCCATTATTGCTTGCGTATCGCGTGCGGCGTGTGCTATCAACCGCTCTCTGCTTCAATCACTTATAATCTTATTTGATTCATTAACCCATCTTTTATTGTTCAAATGTTTAGGCACGAATGTAACCACACTATTAGGCGGCATGTGAAGTAGAAGAAGATCGCGGAAATATCAAGAGAAATAGATGCAGAAGTGGATCTGCTCTTTGGCCGTAGCCAACATTATCGAGCGGACTGTTCAGACAACGAGTCGTCTGTTGGTAACTCAGTAGACGTTGGAAGTGGGAGCTTTAGCCAACCAACGTCATTGTTAGGTGATTTAGCATCTGCTGACAGTATTTCTTGGGCGGACAATGTCATCCATAATGATGACGTGTCACTAAGTGAACGCATAAGGAAAAGACTGTGTGATTGGGCTTTGCAATGCCGTATACCGCACAGTCATTTACGAAGTCTGCTAGACATAGTGTGGATGGCAGTCCCGCAATTACCCGAAGACCCTCGTACACTGTTGGGGGCATCGTATAACTTGCATGTAGTCCCCATGGGTTGTGGAAAGTACGTTTATGTTGGGCTGCAGAAGCAAATACGCAGATAAGTTGATAGTGAAATCGTAGTCGCAGACAATGAAGATATGGTTGTGAATCAGGCTATAGATGGTTTGCCGGGGTGTAGGGGTGTCAGCGGTGGGTTCACGTGATGGTCGTGGTGGTCGCTCACTTGCTTGCAGGTAAGACTATGCCTAGCGTTCACTTGCTGCCACTCAACTCTCAAATGTGGCTCCACGTAGCTGGCTCTGCGCAGCGGCCACACCCCGGGCAACCGTCTCGACCGGCGGGCTAAACCATGTGACGGGGCCCTGTGCGCTGTGCCGTGTGCACAGGGTTTGCGGATTCCGCTAGATGGAAGGTCGGATGGAACGTCGTGACGTGGTTCGTCTCTGCACGCCGCTGGACAGCCAGTGACGGGATGGAATGAAGAAGGAGACACGATCGCCGGGACAAGAGCTATATTAGCCTGACGTTTCGGATTCCTACTCGAATCCATCATCAGAGACAAAAAAGCAGAAACGGGTGGTTGTTGCACAAGGGGCTGTGGTATTTATAGGATGCAGTAGCCATGCTACCGCATGCCTTTGAACATTCACGCCCCCCCCCTTCATCCGGGATCGTCGCACTTGGTGTGATCATTGCTTAATGGCCGACATTCGAGTCGATAATTGCTGCAGTTTCATCACATGCGTTGGATGTTGGTGTGATTATTGCTCGACTATCTGACGCACCGACCCCGGTGTTGGGAAAAATGTTCACCTCTGCCCTGCCCGCAGAATTGGGCTGCGGCCTTCTGCCGGAAAGCCAATGCGGCTTCCGTCGTCATCGTGGGACCACGGAGATGATCTTTGCCGCCCGTCAACTTCAGGAGAAGTGTCAGGAGATGCGGACCCACCTGTACTCTACCTTCCTGGACCTGACGAAAGCCTTCGACACGGTGAATCGTGAAGGACTGTGGAAGATCATGCAGAAAATCGGCTGTCCGGAGCGATTCACTCAGATGGTGCGTCAGCTGCACGAGGTTTTGATGGCGCGATCACGGACAACAGAGCTGTCTCAGAGACATTAGCATTGACCAATGGAGTGAAGCAGGGCTACGTACTGGCGCCTACCCTCTTCAGTCTTATGTTCGCTGCCATGCTGATGGACGCCTACCGCGACGAACGCCCCGGAATCCGCATCGCCTACAGGACGGACGGTCACCTCTTGAATCAACGGCGGATGCACTTCAAATCGCGCGTATCCACAACCACCGTGCACGAACTCCTCTTCGCCGACGACTGCGCCCTGAACACCACCTCGGAAGAGGAGATGCAACGGAGCATGGACATGTTCTTCGCCGCCTGCGAGAACTTCGGTGTGGTCATTAACACGCAGAAGACGGTGGTGATGCACCACCTGCCACCCAACTCAGCCGCAACCCCCAACGCGCCGCAAATCAGCGTGAATGGGACTCAACTGCAAGTGGTGGAGAACTTCCCGTACCTGGGGAGCACTCTCTCCCGCAACACCAAGATCGACGACGACTGGATTTTGAAAGCCAATCAAGCCTTCGGTCGACTCCAAAGCACAGTTTGGAATGTTCATGGTCTCCAATTGCGCACGAAGCTGAAGATGTACAAGGCCGTCATCCTGCCGACACTACTTTATTGAGCGGAGACATGGACGGTGTACGCAAAGCAGGCACGCCGTCTGAATCACTTCCACCTCAGTTGTCTTCGTCGCATCCCGAGGCTGAACTGGCAGGATCGAATCCCCGACACTGATGTGCTGGAACGGACGGGAATTCTCAGCATCTACATCATGTTGAGACAAGTGCAGCTGCGCTGGAGCGACCACCTGGTGCGCATGGACGAAAAACGACTACCCAGACGACTATTCTACGGAGACGTCGCGACGGGTTCTCGCCGTCAAGGAGGCCAAATTCGCCGTTACAAGGATACCCTGAAGTCCTCGCTGAAACGCCTGCAAATCAACCCCACCAACTAAGAGGAGCTTGCACTAGATCGACCGACCTGGAAAAGAGTAGTGAAGACAGGCGCTGTGATCTACGAAGCCAACCGCATCGCTGCCGCCAAAGCGAAACGCGAAGCCCGCAAATCACATCTCCGCCCAGTACGCAACGCCGCCGCACGACCGCTTCCAACGTGTCCTCGATGTCAACGGATATTCCGGACTCGAATCGGACTTGTTGGACATCTTCAGATTAACTGGGCCCTTCGAACTGCGCCAACCATCGTCCCCCCGTCCGCCTCTTTCTCCTCCTCTCCGCCGCAAACTAACTCTGACAATTTGTCTGACCCACCACTTCCATCCTCCTCCTCCGCCTCCTCCTCCTCCTACTCCTCCTCCTTCTCCTCCTCCACCTCCTCATCCTCGTCCTCCTCCTCCTCCTCCTCCTCGCCCACTGCTCCAACGACAGCCGCTCAGGCGACTGTCCCGCGCTTAACAACCGACACAACCACCACCTCCCCCGACTCCAGCGATGAGGATCAGGACTACACCTGCCCTCACTGCGACCGCACCTTCACCTCACACATCGGCCTAGTCGGTCACTTGCGAATCCATTGCACGGAGACTGACGAACCAGTGCCTGAAGCACCAACCTACACCCGCCACACTCGCCTCCACCGCCCACACTGCCCTCGCACCTGCAGGCATCGCATGGGCCTATTCGGCCACATGCGCATCCAGGAGAGCGGCCTTGACCGCACTCCCGACACACCCACCACATCTAGCACATCAACCGTGCACACCCCCACCCTCGCTTCATCCGTATGCGCCACAACCACTGCCACCTCTGTAGCTGACACTGGCACCGCCGACTTCTCATGCCCACACTGTCCAGGAGCATTCATCTCGCGCATAGGCCTGGTCAATCACTCGCGAATCCATCGCACAGAGATTGGCGAACAAGTGCCTGGAGCACCCACACATACCCACCAAGCTCGTCTCAACAGCCCACACTGTCCTCGCACTTTCAGGCATCGCACGGGCCTATTCGGCCACATGCGCATCCACGACGACCTGTGGTAGACAACCGCCGGTCACACCACACATTCACTCACTCCCTACCTCCTCCACCACCATCATCAACCCACCAGAACTCAACACTCACACACCTCATGCACCCAACTGCCACCTCGCACGCAAATGGGAAGTCCGCATCTCGACTCGGTCCCCATGCGGCTTCGGCTGCACGGGTGACTTGAGTCCGAGACTATCCCGACACGTCAAGCGTCGTGGATAGGAAGGTTGCTGATTGACGCCCGCTCTCGGTTCACGCAGTTCGTCGCGTTGTGTGTGTGTTGTGTGGACTGGCGGACTGGTTGGCTGGGGACGGGCTAAAACAGCACCTTCCACGGCACTCTCACGCAAGTGAGAGACACGCCGTTCAACCCCCGTTGTGTGAAATCCTGGTGTTGTGTGTATGGGGGACCAGAGAGTGCCGTGGCGCGCGCAGTCATGGTCATTCGACTATGACAGCCACCGCGACCATTTCCCAATCCAGTCTGCTGACCTGCTCGGACAGCGGCTTGGGTGTGGGAGTGGGAAGGGATAGTGAGGTGGACGACTCAGCGCACTTCCTCCTCACTATAAACAATCTGACGCACTTGAAGCTATCCCGGTGCGCTAAAAGCCGTGGCTTGGAAGGTTGCCAACTGACGGGGTTACATGGACCTCTTCCTTGACTGGATGCGGTCTGAGAGTCAGGCTGCAATGGCTCCTTTTTAATGTGGCCTTTATGGCATTCCCATCACAGTGTGGGATCTGAGCCAGGTGTTGGCAGCACGCCCAGGTGCGGCTTCGGCCGTGCCAACCTTTAAATCTCTGTTGTGTTGATTGAAATCCTGGTCATTTGTTGTGTGGACCAGGGGGTGTGGTGGAACGCCAAGATGAGGATCCGTCCGATCCATCCACCTGCGGCCTCCCTCGTCTCCGGTCTTCTTGACTCTGTCTTGACACCGGGCTCGGGCGAGGGAGGAGTAGAGAGTGTAGGTAGATGCTACGCAAGTCTACCGGCACTAAAAACCCCGGCGTAAGTCACCGTCCCTGCTCCCATTGCTGCTGCAACTGTGGGACACACGGTGGACATCATCGAAACCGATTTTCGAACTTTCAGATGGTTTGCCACCTAACCGCAAGACGATGGCTGAACTGTAGCCCATTCTAGGTCGTATCATGAAGCCATTTGTTAGTAACGTATTTGCCGTTTCCATGTACTGTGGGAACGGAAAGCCGCCAAACGTAGAAGCGTTTTGTAAAGACCTTATAGACGAAACCAGCCAACAGACACTACAACCAGAAATGCTGAAACATCCACTAGGTGGTGTCAGATATTTCACATTCATGTTACACAATTTAGCACTGAAGGCAATTGTTGATTTCACTTACTGGAAAGTGGATAACAGTCCGCCAAATGTGATTCGAATTTCCTCTTTGAACCTCTGCAGTATATACACAAATGCTTCTGAAAGTTCATATGAACGCGTCATCCCCTACTTATCAAAGATGTTAAGCATCCCTGACAGTGGCTTCAACGACTTTCTGCAACACGAGATGGTAAATGCCAAGTCCATAGAGTGCCAGCAGGAATTATCGACAGTTCAAAACTGAGGAGCCTAAACAACTGGGTATTTTTCAATGAAGATAAAGAAACGTGTTCTTCATGTGAACAATTGAGTTTTTTTGGAACAAGTTTCCTAGTATGAATAAACGGCTTTATAGTTTAGCCGTGAGGAATAATGCTCCTTTTATCATATGACTAACATGTCAGCTGTTGTGTTTTTTACCAAGTGCTTCAAATAGATATGGTTATGTAGGATAACATACTTTCTAACGTCCTATACCGCGATCTTCATCAATTTGAGTGTATGCGTGGCTTGAAGTAATGCCACTTAGTTACCGCCCAGGAATCCTAATCAAACTGAGAGTGACTGCTACGTCTCGCGTTTACAGCTTCCTTGCACTTGTGAAAGAGGTGCTAATAAAGCACAAGATTCACCTGCTAAAATATGTCATGAACGCTCGGTGACAAATACTCATGCGGGTGTGACAACAATTCAAGTCAATATACTGAATGAGATGCAAGTGTTACCTCAATAATGCGAATCCGTTTCCAGTCACATACGACATGTCGAATCTGGAAGTGCGGTTTCGGCCACGGCAATATGTAACCAGCTAAATAGCAAATGATCCTTAAATGCTGTCCGCAGTTTCAACTTTGACGCATCTATTTGACATAGATACATTAACATTTCGCGTCAGTCAGCGTAATTTGGGAGAGGCAGTTGATGTGAGTGAGGATCAACAATCGTCCACTGCCTTGTCTGTAAATAGGTTCCTGTAAGTGGCTGGTGATAAATAGTTTGAGGTGCGAACATGCCAGCGCCGAAAATATAGAAGGCACCTTGGACAGATACCGAGAGCGGAGGTAATCTTGACATCGCCGGGATTGTAGTGGCAAGAATCTGGGCAAAAAGACGACGACAGTTCAAAACTGCACCGTAGTAGTCTACGCCGACCTGTCGGACAGGCCTACCCACACCTAAGTCAACTCAGCATGTCACTCACGTTTGCATCTCGTAAAACACTCCGGTCGCCAGAAAACGTCCCTAGCCTTCATGGTTCATATGACAGACAAACCAGAATTACGTCTCTGCTCCACATGTCGCCGAACTCTTGACCAACTTCAATGCTGAATTAGACAGTCAATCGGTTACTTTGTACAATTTAGCTCCATGATACTTTAGGTCATTTTTTACTGAGATAAGGTGAGATGATAACAGAAGAAATAAATTAGCGTTGACACGTGGTATTCTTAAAATACATATTTTGCACATTCAGAAGGAAGGAGGCTGTAACAGACCCACACTTCATCTAATCTGCCGTTTGCGAAATGCATGTAGGTTAAATGAAAGTAATCTTGTTGCAAAATATATAACACTTGCAATATAACTGTCTAGGGAACTTCTGTCTTGTCAGAAAATTGTTTAAAACTCATTTACGTAGGAGATGAGCGAATATTTTGAACAGTGCATGAGCTAGCGCGCACACATTTTGGGAGACGAAAGATTATATTGTGGTTGTAAGGCCAGAGGGAAAGTGACATTCCCCAGTTAGTAAAGGTGGCCATAATATAGGTTACAGAAGGGGTACTCAACCCAAACAATAACCTTAAACCTAACATAAAATTTTAACCTATCGCATCATGTGTTGCCACTGTAAGCTTAGTTTTATCATTGCATTTAATCCTAAATGTATTTTTGTCAGAATTTAACGCAACAACAAACAGTATTACGGGTTGGTCTTATTATCCTATAATGTCGGTGGCATGGCCATATGACCGATTCTTGCTTCATATTACTACATTATCTATTTGGATGTGATATTGGATTTAAACAATATTAAGCATCCTTCGAATTATTCGATATGAATTGTCACAACTCCAATTTAGTCCAAACACTCAGATTTTCACATTGCACGGGTGGCACATCATGTCAAATTTTGGAATATGCATGTTTGCTCATGTATGGCCATGCGTGAATGAAATGTCCTGTGCAACGTGCCTATATGCGTTTCTATGGTTGTCTGGCAGGGGAGCTGGGTTTGTGGCAAGTCAATTTCCTTCTGGCATTACAGCTTAGTTTGCGAGTAGGGCTAGTGTTCGCAGAGTCCTCGGAATACACTTACGTTGGTTTTGGCCTAGTGGAATCGCTCACGCGACGATCAGATCGATTACAGTGCAATAAATTTACTTTGAACCCTCTATAAAATGACGCTTGTTACCTTTGTTGTTCAACCCCGCAGAGCACTGACCATACGCTTTCCGTATAGGCAGTCTAGTGACAGGTCGCGGTCACTCCGCACGTCAATTACTCTTTGCCATACAAATTCTCAGACGCGTCCGAAGTTCAAAAGCAAAACCTAGCACCAGAAACATCATTCATTGATGTCAACATCTCTTTCACTCATCAGAAAATAGCATGGCCCCGTGACAAAGATTTAGTAGAGTTGAATGTGTTCACGGTCTAAGGTGAAACTAAGCAGCCGCTTTGAAGTAATGCCGTCAAGTAATAAAGGCAATGCAATATCAATTCCAGGCTTACTGGTTTGTAGCTGTCAGCGATACAAATAACTTAATTCCGACTTACCATGTTACTAAATATAATTGTTTACCTATGCGGTCGTAGCGTCAGTTGCTAAAACGTCTCTTCTAGCCGGCTTAACTTTACGTATTCTTTAGCTTCTTTTAAAAGCGTTATTCACACTTGCTATGGGCAAGAGAAAAGTATATATAATCGTCATGACATTCCATTCAGGAAACCAGAAAATGGCAAGTTGATATCAATTCTGCATAGCAATGCAGTCATTGACATTGTACACATACAACCAGCTGAGAGGGTGATTTAGGCTTTTAGAAGTCTGCAAATTTATGTTTATTCTAAATTTAGTAAATACGGCTCTTCGACACCGCCTCTAGCCTGATTATGCTGTAAGTAGCCCACTTTAAGCGTTCGATAGAATACAAAACCGCTTACCTTTTCGGTCAGTCCTCACGGGAACCTGACTATGAACCACGCCCAATTACTTGCCGCAGACACTCGACATGTAAAATATTTTGCACTTTGGTAACCGGTCCTCTTACCTAAAAAAAAGTAAAACACAAGCTTATATGTAGGTAGGAGGAAAATGTTATGCGCAATCTGTCTACGTGTTTCGCCTAACTCTCCGGTTGTAGCAAAAGCGCAGCACAGAATACGCAGTCGGAATGGCGTCGAGCTTTTTATTTGAAGGCGTCCAGTAGGGCATGCCTGAAGCAGCTGGCAATACGCGCCTGTGTCCACCTTGGCGAGGATGTCGTTTTTGTCAGGTTTGCAGGTGTGGCTGGGTCGTCGTCGAATAAGAAGAGGTTTGTCCAGATTGGCAAAGTTGAGAGGTCCGGGTTGATTATTCGAAGAAAAAGATGGGCTCACCGGAGGTCTATAAGTTAGCTTTATTCGTTTCTTTACTGTACGTGGTTGTCTGGCCATTTC